TGGGTCGCACCTATATAGGATACCGCCGTTACAACTACCAAAGTCTTCCCTTTGTACATCTGAACAGAGCCCTACATTGTTTCTCTATTCTCCAAGCCTCTCGTCTGCTCAAGGCGACTATTCATAAAAGCATGGCAGGCATCCACAAGCAGACAGACGAAATCCTTCGGACTTGGTTACATGACGTTGGCTTTGACCTTCAGCAGGCAGTGCGGCCATTCCACGCCGAACTTTACGCGGAGCTCGAAGAATGGATCCTTTCTCAGAATCTTCAGGAGCACCAACTGAGCCGCATTTGGAAGCTCTTGCCAGCATGTACCAGCGCCGCAGATAAGTGGTATCCTCATGCTAGCCACCAGGTGAAACGATATATTGCGCTCTACACCACTTTTCTTCTCTATGTGGACGATAAGGCGGAACAGGACCTTGCGCATATCCTCCCCGACCTTCAGAGAGTTGCCTCTGGTGCCTACAATGGGTTCCATGCTTTGAAGTGTGATGACCCTGTTGTTAATCTGTGGCTGGAGCTCGTTGCGACTGAAACCGGAACGTTCTATGGCCCATATTCAACTGGGGTCATTACCAAAGGTCTAGTCGACTTCATGCTGGGGAATACAGTTGAAGCAAACTTGGCTGCAGGCCTGAAGCTTCCAGCAAAGTTTGGACAACGAGCATCCAAATTTGTACGTGACAAGACCGGAGCTGGGGAGGTGTACGCCCATTTCATCTTTCCTGAGCACCTTGCAGAAGAAAACGGGCACTTGCCGACCTATGTGCCCTTTATTGCATGTATGCTGGACCTCATTGACGATGTGAATGATATTCTATCGTTCTTTAAGGAGTCCGTGGTTGGAACTGAGATGAACACAAACATCATGAACAGAGCTCGTACCGCATATTGCAGCCCTCATGATGTACTAGAGCAACTTTGCCGGGAAACAGCTGAGACTATGTATGCTGTCAGTAATGGAATTGGAGAAAACGGTGCTATTGGGAAGCTTTGGAAGGGTTTTATGAACGGCTATATTACGTGGCACATTTGTGAGGACCGGTATCGGCTGAAGGAAATTGGGCTCACGATGAGACTCGGACAAGACCGGGTCGAATAGTATTGAATGATTCATTGGTCAGAGTTGCACATATGCCAGGCAATATTGAAGTAGTGAATTTGATATTTTACGCCTTGATGCGGAATATAATTACACGTGGTTATTTCCACACTCACATTTCAAACAACCCTTTTCAATATCGAACGATGTTAAGAAGGAAAAGAGCGGTGTCCTTATAAGTCTCCAAGATCAGAGCAACTGGCTAATTGGGTTCATGCCCTAACTACTGAGAGTTGGGTGAAGGATGGAGAGGACGCTCGAACCGCATCTGGTCGTCTCGCCGGCGGAAGAGAATTGGACTCTAGAAAGATCTTGCTCACATGCGACGTCAAAGAGCGAATGAGGATTGGCGCAGCTGTTTAACCACCTTACGAGTTGAACAGGCGTGCAAGCTTGTTGCTAGAGACTGACAGCACTACCAAGTCACGTGTATACCTTTGCGGCCTGTTCCAGCCCTTTGCTGTGTAGTGGATCCAATTTATGGACATAATCGGGTTATGTAAGCAGTTGCTGCATAAAAGCCAGAGCCCTGCTGAGATAAGTTCTAGATAGCATCGTGAGCCATTGTGCCTCGGGGCGAAGATAGACATGAAGCCACCGACATGGCTAAAGTATAAATTTATTATAGCTACGGGCCAAAGCCTTGGTAGTTGTCTTTCTTGGAGCTCAATATATGGTAGATTATGCATGACTGTATTCTGTTCGAGTCATAGTATTCAGTGCCAGCATTAGCTTATCTGCTTGGGTGCGAAGAGTGACAAGATCATAATAGTCATTTGCTTTAGCATATATCCACTTATGTTCTGAGGAACAATTGGTGGCCTGGAATCACTGGCAGCACTGGCTCAACCATACAACGGATGTGAATCCAACGCCGTTGCTGATTCCCTTATCATGCTGCTCTAGGATGTTCATGAACCATGGGTGGGGAATCCAACACGTGCAAGTCCCCTGTTGGGGTCCATTCTGTTGTCAAGATCTTCATATCGGAGAATAAACTCGCGCTGCCGCCAAGGTTTTCGTTAGCACGGGGAAGGGGAAGCTTGGTTGCGAATGGGTCCTATCGTACTCTGATCTTTTTCCAGGTGGCAGGGTCCCAGATTAGGTATATGCCTCGTTCACTGACGCCGCGCTCAACATCGACGGGACCGGGATATGTTTCATCACGGGTAAGCCAACACCTCTCAATCTTGTGATATCTCCACTTGCGGCCCATTAACTCTTCTGCCACAACTTCTTGCATAATATCCCGCGGCATGCTATAGAAGATGTAGAATAATGTCTCGTCACTAAAGCTGGCAATTCGTGACTGGAGTGGTTGGATGTTGGCAACGTTGTAACAAGAAGGCAGCGCAAAGTCCTGCTCCAAGGGCACGCCGGTCATGGATGCAACAAATGGGGAAGCGAAAGATGTGTGTAAAGGTCTAGTATCTTTTAGTTGAGCAAACAAAACACGGGGTTAGTAGACATGGACATACTCCGGTTGGTTCAGGTCCAAGCCTAATGTCATCAGGTCCTGACCTACTGCAAGAGCAGCGACATCTGGGCTATCGCTGTGAATCATGCGCAGAAGACCTGCTAGCCCGAATTTATCGAGCTCACTCATCTCGCCTAGTGGCGGTTGCTCCGCACTTTGGGCAGCTCCAGAAGCCTCTTGTGTCTCCCCGGAAGCGGGCTGTTGTTCCGTATAATTGCGCTGGGTTGACAGCACAGCGTTATTCAAGTCCTGCGCAAAGTATCGTAAGCCAGTATACATGCAACCTTCATATTGAGGGCCGAACCTCTTTCTCTTGACCCGACACCCCATTGGAGGCTTGGTTGACGGGCGATCGTGAAGTTCCGATACCTAGGAATGATTAATCTTTCATCAACCGATGAAGGAAGACCTCAACAAACATACTTCCTGATCCCGCATTGGCAGGCGACATTATTCTTTCCTGCCCGTTTATGGATGCTGAGATTGCGTTGCGATTCTGCGTGGATTGGGCTTGGGTTGCGCCGGAAAGCGGTAAGCCAGCGTTGTAACTACCAAATCCTGCACTTTGTATTAAAGATTCCCTGCGATCTTGACCAAGTTCTGCGGCAACGTTGCGCCCCAGAGGAGGAAACTCCTCGATATTGCCCGTCTGCGGCTGTGTACCTGCGCCTAACTGACCGCTGATGCCCTGTCCGCCGTTTCTATAGTCATCGAGGCGATTGGCAAACTGAGCCCCAGATGGGAATACATCATCATGCGAGGGTTGGGATTGTTGTTGAGGGTGGGATTGCGTTTGAAGTGGTCGTGAAGGTGCTTGAGACGTAGGGAGTTGCTGTCTTTGGACAGGAGTTTGTTGCATGGCTCGTTGGCTGGCATTCGCCCATACTAAGTGCCCCGGATTTTGAGCTTGAGACTGTGGGGGTGCTCCGGACAGAGAAGGGAAATCGCTAGCAGACAAACTCCCAGCGTTAGCAGTCAAGAAAGGTGTCCGTGCCTCTTGCGTACGGAGAAGCCTCGAGGAGAGGAAACAAGTGAGGTCACACTCACGATAAATCAAGAGGTGTAGCAGGCTGTGACCCACTGAGGCTTTGTGCAAAAGACCCAATATTCCCTATATTGCGTTGCTGATTGTTCTGGATTCCTGGGGTTCCGCTGACAGGCAGGTTGAAATTCCAAGCAGCACCGCCCCCTATTTCGCCTTCCTCCATTAGCCTCCAAGACTGTAATGATACCGAATTATAACTTCCGAGTTAATCGCACCTAGTTTTCCGTTTGGCAAACGCGCCGATGCCAGAGTCGCATTTCGAACTTGTGCTTGTTGCTGTGCGGGGAATCCAGACATACCCCGGAGAGGTTGTGGGCCTGGTCCTAGTCAAGAGAAACAAGAGTCAGCATATGATAGGTGAATTCATAACTTTCAAACGAAAAAGGTTTGTGATCTCTTCGTCCAAGCTGCCTAGGTTTGATAAGGTCTTGCAAGGCATCCGGTCGCAGGTCAAGATGCTATATTGTGAATCTATACAATTGGCGCAATGCTGAGGTGAAGATGAGACATTTCCTGTTCACGAGCGAACTTTTGAAGTAACCACAGATATACTGACAACAGTATATCGGCATATAGGGTTGATCAAAGGAAATCACTTCTGTGGCTGGCTATACCAACACCGGACCATGGACAGTACAAAGAGAAGAAAGGAAATTGACAAACCTGGCCGATTCATGATGTGATACAAGCTTCCAAAGACTTTCTATTTAAAATAAATATTGTAATTCGGAAAACCAAGAGAAAGTTAACACAAAGAGTCTGGGGAGGTATTGAAATCACCAGTGCTTCGAAGGATCTCTGCCCACTCTCATGCGACGGATACTGGAAGGTGGAGTGGCTGCAAACGCGCGCTTCTTGTTGTGCACGGACCATGTTAGCCGCTATTCGGCGCTGCTTTCTTCCATAACTGGTAAGGTTTCTAGATGTGAACGTCTCTTTTCAAGGACCAACCCTCACTCATTTGCTTGGTGTAAAACTGATCCATAGTTATATTCAAGATGGACAATATGACTGAAGGCTTAAACCGATCTCATTATCTCTTCTCGATCATCCGATTGGAGAACGATCCTGTTACACTGTTCTAGTAGCTTTCGAGTCCCGTCCCACACCTGGCAATAGTTTTATACGGAAACAAAGAAGAACCGGATGCGTGTCGATACTATGAAGCGCACTTCACAATTACTCAAAACCCATGAGACCTGGAACAGAGCCGCAGTAGGTTGCCGCGACTGAGCGTAACACACGGCAAGCGGCTGTTGAGTCACGTGATTTACCCGCCGAAAAGTCCACTCATTCCGTTAGCTTCTTGAGTCGGAGACCGCAGGCGTCTACAAGTCTTCTTGTTGAAGGCCGCTACCTCCAATCCACAATGCATCGCCAATCGGTTGCGCGATTTGCTCGCCAGTGCGGGGGCCTTCCGCTGGCCGAATTGCCTCCTCCTTACCTTGCGCCGTCCCTTCATTTCTCCCGGATTCAGTGCTCGAACTTTTCCTCGACCGCTGTCGCCGCTGGCCATGGACGTGATCTGAGCAAATCACGCGGTGTGTCCGCCATCCACCGTACCGGCCCCAAGTTTAAGTTGGGCGTTTCAAAATACCCTCTGCCGAAGCCTGTCTCGCCGGAAACACTCGAGAAGCGTCATCCTACCCCGGATCATGGCCTTTGGGGATTCTTCCCTCAGGATCACGAGGCACTTAGCACACCAAAATACGATCATGCGCATGGTTAGTTCACTCTCCGTCGGGCTTTGTTGAGGGATGGCCAAAAAAAAAGTATCTACTAGGCACAGGGTGATGCTCACCATCAATTGTTTAGGTCGGTCCTGGTCAATTCAGGAGCTCCGTGAGAAGTCCTGGGAGGATCTCCATGCTCTCTGGTGGGTCTGTGTCAAGGAACGCAATCGCATAGCCACTTCCCAGCTGGAAAGACAGCGACTGAAGGCAGGTTACGGAGAATGGGAGCTTGACAATCGAGACCGGACGGTGAGTTTTTTTTTCCCCCACTCAGAAAGCCTTGCGATATCATATACCTCCATACGTTGGCGACGCGGTACTGGATATTGACTCAGCATACTCATATTATGGAAATTTCGAGGCTCCATCCCGTACATGGAGCTTGAGCGAGTACTTTGAGAACTGGACACTAATGTTTGCTCTGGACAGATCCGTGTTACGCAAAAGAGCATCAAGCACGTTCTTCGGGAAAGATGGTATGCTTGGGAAGATGCCCAGAAATTGTACAACAGTGGTTACCGGCCACAGGAAGAAGGTGCTGAAGAGGCATCGAGCACGGCCTAATCTAGATAGAGCGTTACAGTTTCCAAAAACGGATTGTAAGAGCTCCTGTCTCGGGTTAATTCTGTGTATGTAGTATTATCACTCTGTATTAGTCCAATTGATTCTATATGATTTGTGAACTAGTTCAGATGCTTCATGGGGATGAGTACCGAAAAGGGGAAAGGATTTGTCCCTGAGTCTAGATCGTATACCTCCTCACTCAATAGTGCTGGAGTTGTCCGATTAGGGGTGAAAGCAAAGGTAGTTATGTGTATATAATAATTGGCATCTATATTCCTTAGAGCCTACGATCTCCACAGATTATTTAGTCCATCCGATGGGGAAAAGGGGTAAGAGCGGTTCAGGAGGTTTACGTATCTAAATTCATGATTTGATTATATTTTATGCCACTTTAATGTATTTGTCTTTTTCTTTTTCCTTTCCTTTACTAGCTTCCTCCCAGTGTCCGTAATAGTAAGAGAATTATTATCTTTCGATGACTATTCTGGAAAAGCCGACTCCTTAACTACCACCCTGAGATGCGAGGTTATTTGGATCGGTGGATCCTTTTAATTAGTTGGGGGGAAGAGGGTACCGAATAATAATAATAGTAATAAATCATTGCTCACCAGTGATCCGCGGGGGATGGTTCAAAGTAGTTAAGAGTAGTAAGTAATAGACTAGACTACCTGACGGCCTGACCCAGAAGGTTGAAGGACCTCCTTTCAAAACACAAACTCACCGCTCCCATTCATTCATTCTCCGTCTCCGCATCCTCCCACCTTCACCATTCCACTCTCCTTTTTCTACTGAACATTTGTTTAGTCTCATTTACATTGAAACTCTTTTTGTTTCCTGCCTCTTGCAATATCCTACATCATATTCCACCATGGATGAGATCGCCCCCGAATATGATGTTGTTGTTCTCGGCACTGGTACGTGCTGCTAAGCTGCTACCCCGCCGCTCAACAAGCTGGACTAACACCCCTCTCAGGCCTGACCGAGTGTGTGCTTTCTGGGTATGCGCTCTCTTATATTTCCCAACGACATTCTGGGGTCACTTATTGATCAATATCTAGTGTTCTGAGTGTCAAGGGAAATAAGGTTCTTCACATTGATCGCAATGACCACTACGGAGGGTAAGTTATTTCTGACAGCTGTGCTGGGAAGCTATTCCACCCGTCACACGTCACCCCCCGCTAATATTTCGAAACAGAGAGGCTGCTTCCGTGAACATCGAAACAGTAAGTATTCATAAGCTTACTATATCCTAAATATACTAATTCCATTCTTTTTTGCACTACACAGCTTTTCAAGAAATACGGCAACGTCCGCCCCGGCGAGGAACCCTGGAAGAAGTATGGACGGGTCAATGACTGGAACATCGACCTGGTCCCCAAGCTGCTGATGGCCAACGGCGAGCTGACGAATATCCTGGTTTCCACCGATGTCACACGTTACCTCGAGTTCAAGCAGATTGCTGGCAGCTACGTCCAACAAGGAAAGGGCCCTAAGGCCACTGTGGCGAAGGTTCCTTCGGATGCCAACGAAGCACTTCGCTCGTCTCTCATGGGCTTGTTTGAGAAGCGGAGAGCCAAGAAATTCCTCGAATGGGTTGGCGAATTCAAGGAAGACGATCCTAGCACTCACCAGGGTTCGTGATCTGGAACGGAATGCTTGCATTGTCATGGCTGCTAACATGGTATAGGCTTGAACATTGCCCAGTGCACCATGAAGGAAGTCTATGACAAGTTCAGCTTGGAAGAAAACACCCGTGACTTCATTGGCCACTCCATGGCCCTATACCAGTCCGACGACTATATTGGAAAGAGCGGAACGGCCGCCGATGCCATTAACCGGATCCGCTTGTACGTGAACTCTATGGCCCGCTACGGCAAGTCGCCCTACATCTATCCACTCTACGGTCTGGGTGAGCTCCCTCAGGGCTTCGCTCGTTTGTCTGCTATCTATGGAGGTACCTACATGCTTAACACCAACATCGACGAGGTCCTCTATGAGGACGGCAAGGTTTCCGGAATCAAGGCGACCATGAAGGATCGGGATGACAACGGCGAGACTATGAAGTTCACCACCAAGACCAAGAAAATTCTGGCCGACCCATCTTATTTCCCTAGCAAGGCCAAGGTTACCGGATACTTGCTGAAGGCGATCTGTATCCTGAAGCACCCCATCGACAAGACGGACGGTAGCGACTCGCTGCAGCTGATCATTCCCCAATCGCAGGTTGGAAGAAAGCACGGTAAGTATTAACAGTACTTGAAGGATAAAAGCGACAACGTTGCTGATACCGTCTAGATATCTACATCGCTATGGTTTCATCGGCCCACAACGTTTGCCCCAAGGGCTACTATATCGCTATCGTCTCGACCATCGCTGAGTCTGATGCCAACCATCACATTGAGCTGGAGCCTGGCTTTGAGCGTTTGGGTGAAATCGAGGAGAAGTTCTTCGGACCCCCCATCCCGCTCTACGAGCCTCTGGAGAGTGGTGAGAATGACAACATCTTCATCTCCCAGAGCTACGATGCCACATCTCATTTTGAAACCACAACAGGTAAGTCACGTCTTTGTAACCCCAGTGGGGGCGGATGAAGAAAGCTAGGCTGGGTTAAACTAACATGAAATCAGCCGATGTTCGTGACATCTATCGCCGTGCGACAGGTGAGGAGCTCGTCGTTGAAGGCCTCCGGGAGGATCAGCGACTTGCCCAGGAGTAAATACGCTGTCATCGCATTTGAGAATTAGGTAATATATCATTGCTTTGGATGTTTTAAGTTGAGCCATAATTCCTTTTTGGACTTTCTTTTCCTTTACTTATCCTCTTTTGCATCCTCCAGAGATGGCAATCTTGGAGACAGTACATTCCCTCTACTTTTGGTATATATTGCACCCATAAGCTCAGTAGACACCGGGTACCTCTGAAGATCCTGGGGGGTCCGGTGTTATGCTTTCTCGGTTATCCAACCCAGACCATCAATAAAAAGATGTACCGCTGCAGATTCAAGTCATCGTGCTCATTCTACACAGTTTATTCTAACCACGGCCTAAAAGAAGAAACCCAACGCATGTATAACCGTAGAATCAGATTCTCCCAACCCCCTCAGGATCCGTATTGGCTTTCTCATGTTCACCCACCACACAGACCGCCCCAGTATCAGCTTGTTGGATCTCCGCCCGCAGCAGCGCCAATCGCTTCCCCGTGTGTATAACCTCGCATACTATTCGGATCTCGAGGCCACTAGGGAGCGGACGCAGGTACGTCACTCTGAGGTTCCGACTCACTCCACCCAAGGAGAAGTATCCCGGCTTAGAGAGACCCAGGAGGATCGTGGTCGACAGAGTATCAATCAACGTAGCAGCGCAGCCCCCGTGGAGAGTCCCCACTGCATTACACATGTTGGGGGTTACATTCAACAGGTATGAAACTCGGGCTGGGGGGCCCTGAGTTGCGGATTCAAAGCGGAGATCGGCAGCAGTCGAATCGATGTCCCAACGCTAGGTTAATCAGCGACGGATGTATAGAGTAAGCTTCTGGGAGGAACGACACCTCTTCGTCATTTTCTATGTTGATGCCATTAGAGCAATGATAAACATGGTTTTCGAAGTCATCTAATTTCCTGTCTGGGGCGCGGACCGGCATTGTGAGCGCATTAATCGGGTTCCGAAAAATATGGGGAGAAGGATGGTTAAAGGTCTATGATTTTACGGGGCTTTTGAGCGGAGAATGACTATTTGTATGTACAGGGGGATTTGGTACTGCGGCAGCTATATGCGGCGGAGGAATAGCTAGCAGTAAACCTTTGAATTATAGCCGAGGTTGGACGGCGGTTGGCTTCTGAGTTAAGTTTCAACCCACTATTTGGGCATAACTTGCTGGTCTCCACGGACTGCACAATATGGGACGTTTAGCGATTCGAATTGGAAGCTTGATGGATGCACTTCCTGATTCATATCTTGAGGCACATCGGTGTCCTGGTTCTTTTTGGGTTTGTTTGCCTGCTTGAATACATGTAGCTACGTCTACAGGAGATATATTTCTCAACAGTTGAAGCGGACCGAGGTAACATCCCATGGTTAGTAAACCAGAAGTTTTTGGAAGTCCAAGTCATTGATGGCTTATACACGTCAATCCATCTCTTAAATCCCAAGGGTATATATATATACATTAGATCTCTGTACATGGACTCAGAGCTCTACAGCAGCACTACCACAGGATCCGTAGCATCGTCAATCAATTACTCCATCAAAGTTCTAGTAACCTGTTAGAGCCCAACCATTGAAACGTCTAGCGATGCAGATGCCTTGCTGATGAGATAGAATCCAAGCCTAGAAACGCCGTATAAACAATCTCTCCAGCCCATACATAGGAGATACTCGGTAGCATCATATATACTACGGCCATCTTTACAACGAGAAACCGACCAACCCTACTCAACCAGTTCACAAGACCTTTTTTTTTTTTTCATCCCAACAGCAAGAAAACTGCCCTTCAACATACCTCAAAAGTACAGGCCATGATATCTTACTGTCCCTCGGAGAATCTCTGAATAGTCGCAAACTGTATGGGTACTACCAAAACCACTCCCATCTCACCTGACTGCGCGTCACGCGTTCTGCCTCAGGCGACAAGATCGCCATGTCTAATCAGCCAGCGCCCGCAAGATGTATGTCCATAAACACCAAGGCGTCCCCTACTATATAGGGCGCGTTTTAAATGTAAGTTAACTTTCATATACTGAGAATAAGATGGTATTACTCTCGATGAGGCGCTAACAGGAGACAATCTCCCTAGATTGCGCTCGCCGTCGCAAACCTCCGAAAATAATTTCCAACTCCGCATCTACCCTACCCTTTCTTCCCGCTTTCTTCGATGCTCAAATCCGGTCGACGTGCCATTGACGCTTCAGTTTACTCAGCTTGATTCAACGGGTTGGCTATTGTACGGTGCAAAGTTCAAGGCGATAATTCACTTGAAACAGGACTCCCTAGGTCCTGGACATC